CATGATGATATTGGTCATGTGGGAATAAAACGATGCGAGTCAATTATCAAGTACAAATTTTGGTTCAAAATATGGCTAGATTTATAAAAAAATACGTAAATGCGTGCCTAGTTTATCATTATAAAATGGGACAATATGGGAAACCACAAGGACAACTTTTTCTCGTAAATAAGCCATGCGAACCCCTTCATACAAAATTCATATATTCTTATGATGATTGATTCATTCGCTAAATTTGTATTTGCTAGACCGACTAAAACTACAAAGGCTAAGGAGGTTAATGAACAGACGATTTATTTAGTATGTTCGGGACTCCTAAAAGAATAATTTCGGATCGTGGAAAAGCTTTCACTAGTAACGCATTCAAATCATTTTCAAGTCAATATCAAGTTAAACATGTTTTAAACGCTATAGTATGTCAAGAGCAAGTGAACAAATCGAACGATACAATCGAGCCATATTAAATGGAATAAATACGTCTATAGAAAATGAAAGTGATTGGCAGAGAGCTCTTCTCAAAGTTTTATGGGGTATTAATAATAAAGTAAACGATACTACCGGGTATACACCACACCTTTTAATGTTTGGTTATGAAAAAAACCGTCATGCTGATCTAGGAGATAATGAGTTCGAGATCTTCCCCGATGCTAGGAGGAAGGCAAAGGAGAGGATGGACATAAAGGCGAATAAGATGAAAAAACGTTTCGATGAAAAGCACACACCTACAAAGTCATACAATAAGGGTGAGCTTGTATTATGGTCAGGGGAAAATACAAATCAAAAAGAAGTGAGTAAGAAAGTAGGTCATCAAAAGTTTGGTGGACCTTATAAAATCAAGAAGGTTTTAGGAAATGATAGATATGAGATTACATCTTTGGAGGGCTTAAATGGGGATCAGGGGTTTAGAGCGATAGTGGCTGCTGATAGCTTGAGAGAATAGAAAGGTGGTGTCGTTGATATTACAGAAAGTGAAAGCGAGCTCAATTCTACTGATTAACTAATTGATTTTTTAGAAGGTTAGGCTGTAAGGTATGAGATAGTATTGATCCTATGTCCTCTAAATATCATGTTAATAAAACTAGTTCTTGGAGTTGCAGTTTTATTATAAATCAGTGGTGGTGTGGCAACTGAGGTCACACTAGATGAAGGGTAGCATGTGTAAATATACGTGTGGTAACAAAGTTCACACTATTAAAAATAATATGTATGTGGTAACAAAGTTCACACCAATCTAATAGATTTAATGAGTGTGGTAACTGAGGTCACAGATTAATACTGGTATATAAGTGAGGTAATCAAGATCACACCGTGGAAGAAAGTATGTAAGTGTGGTAACTAAGGTCACACTGACTGTGAGTGAATAATGCTACAATCCATCCACCCTGTAATATATTTTATGGTAAAATGGTACTGTATTCTGTTTCTTTCTTAGGGCTACGAATAACAACCATGGGTACTAAACCACTGGCGGGGACACCAGAGGATTAGGAAGGCCGATTGTTATGGAAAAATAATACAGCGAGCCCAAGTACGGCAATGTCGGAAGACTAGACACTACTATTATACGCCCTACTGAGTGGGGCCGTGGCAAATGCTTGTTCCGGAAGTTGTTGTATCCAGTATACAACTTCTTCTCGTTCAAGCGATTGTCCACGCGTTAAGGAATACCTCAGTACCGATTGCCGGGTGGCGGTACAAGTCCGCCAACGGGCCACTTTAGGTCTATTTAACATCAGTAACACGTAAAAAGAAGGTGGTAGACAAGGACCAGTCGACCGAGGCAGTACCACACGCTAGCTTTTGCCAGGGTGTCTTATAAATGTCCGCATGTTTTCTCACCTAAGCTATGCAGTCGGTTATCCTCCAAAACAAAGAAATTAATGATGATGGATCCCTCGAGCACTAAGAACTCCGGACATAAACTCACTCCACTCTCGGAATGTCCGGGTGGAGGGTGGGCTCGAGGGAACAACATCGAAGATAAAATTTGTTTTTCGAACATCTGCGGGATTAACAGCAACATTGATGCTGTTCATCACTACCTGCAATCCAATCGTCCCGCCGTGCTTTTCTTGGCGGAGACAAAAATCTCAGAGTCTGCACCCATTAACCATCTTAACTTCCCAAACTACGAGGTGCACTCCAATCTGAGAAAGAACGGGGGAGTTGTGGCTTTTGTCCGCAGCAGTCTTTCCTGCTCCAGAGATGTTTCTTTGGAATCAGACCGGAAGGACTTTCTGTGGCTTCGCCTCAACTCCAAAACATCACCCAAGTTTATTTGCTGCCTTTATCGCTCTCCCTCGGACCATAACTGGGATGACCTACTCGAATACCTCGCCGTCCCGATCGACTTCCTGAACATCAATCATCTCGCTTCAGAGGTAGTTCTTATCGGTGATTATAATGCCCAAAGCGAGCTTTGGTTGGGCTCAAACAAGACCGACGCAGCAGGTCGTGCAGTCGAAGCGTTCGCTCTTACCCAAGGGCTGACTCAGCTGGTGACGAGTCATACTTTTTCCCCCGCGTCTCGTCACACGCCAGTAGCCTGCTGGATCTCTTTCTGACCACGCATCCTGCCCCTTACAGCACTGCTGTCCTGTCCCCCCTGGGTAACTCAGACCACGGTGTTGTGGAGGTTAGGTTTCGGTCAGAACCCGCTGTGGCAGCAGAAACTCGCACACAGAACCTTCTTGCAAAACCCCACTGTAGAGAACAGACAAGCCGACGTCGAGTCCAGAAACAAATATAAAACAGCGGTTCGCAATGCCAAAAACCAGCATGATATAAAAGTTAGGCAAAGGGTAATGTCGCAGGGCAATGGCAGTCGGTCTTTCTGGACGCTGGCCAAGCAGATTGAAAAGAACTTCTCACACAGTAGCCTTCCACCACTTACGTGTCAGGATGGAACTATTGTATTCAACTCAAAGGCCAAGGCGGAAGTGCTAGCCAAGATCTTTGCTGCCAACTCCACCATGGACGTCCCCCCCCCAACGCCCAAGTGCCGTCAATTCAAATGGTTCCCTACACTATGCGAGAGGTAACATTCAGGCATAAGACCGTAAGACGAGTGCTCTTGTCGCTCGACATCAACAAAGCTTCTGGTCCGGACTTCATTCCTGCCATTGTACTGAAGAGGTGTGCACCGGAGCTTGCTCCAGTTCTTTCGCGTCGCTTCCAGATATCTTATGAATCCGGCACCTTCCCAGAAAACTGGAAATTTGCTCATGTCCAACCCATCCCAAAAAAGGGATCTAAGACCGACCCTTACAACTACAGGCCTATAGCTCTGCTTTCTGTTCTAAGTAAGGTGATGGAGAGGTGCATAAATCGCGAGCTTCTGGACTACCTCGAACGTCACGGCTTGATTAGCGACAGGCAGTATGGTTTCCGGCACCAACGATCCACAGGGGACCTCCTAGCTTACGTCACTCAATTGTGGAGTAAACTCATCCAGTCTTATGGTGAGGCTCATGTCGTTGCTCTTAACATCACGAAAGCGTTCGATCAGCTGTGGCACGCTGCCCTCTTAAGCAAACTTCCATCCTATGGCCTACCAGAAAAGCTTTGCAGATGGGTGGCTGACTTTATCTCTGGCCGCAAGATATCCGTCGTAATTGACGGGTTCTCCTCTTCATCCCACAACATCAACGCGGGTGTTCCCCAGGGATCGGTCTTGGCTCCGACACTGTTTCTTTTACGTATCAACGACCTCCTTTCCTGTACGATCAACCCAATCCACAGCTTCGCTGATGACAGCACTCTACATGCAGGAATTCAGAGTGACAAGCCGATCTCTGACGCTGAGTTGGAAAAAAGAAGACCAGCGATTACTTCCTCTCTGACAAGAGACCTGGAGGCTATCACTGCTTGGGGACGCAACAATCTTGTACAGTTCAATGCTTCCAAAACGCAGTACTGTACTTTGACGAACAAAAAGCGTCCCTGCGCTCACCCGGTTTCGATGAATGGTCGAGTTCTGCTAAAGAGCCATTCATTTCGGCTGGTCGGAGTCCAGATCACCGAGGTCACCTGATCTGGCACGAACACATCTCGTCAATAACTGCAGCTGCTGGAAAAAAGCTAGGCTATTTGTTTAGGGCTAAGAAGTACTTTTCTCCGCATGACCTTCTCACTCTATACAAGGCCCAGATAAGGCCTAGCCTCGAGTATTGCTCGCACGTTTGGGGTGCTGCCGCCCCGACTACATTATCCATGCTCGATGCTGTCCAGAGGATTGCGGTCCGACTGATCGATGACACGTCTCGGGACTCTTTCGCTCCGGCGGGCTGTCGGCGATCTGGCTCTTTTCTACCGTTACACCAACGGGCTTTGCTCCTCAGAGCTCTCTTCCATGATGCCGTCGCGCGAAGTGCCTGCCAGACAGACCCGCCTAACTTTGGCGTCCCATCCCAACCGTGTCGAACTTCGTACATCCAGGACCGGCCGATATACGACCTCTCCTTTGTCCCTAGGGTGTCGAGATTGTGGAACAATCTACAAGAGGAAGCTTTTCCCAGTTCTATTAACCTTAGGCAGTTCAAAAATCGTATTAATAAAATTTCTTTGTGATCATCATAGCAGCCCCGGTGTTCCGGCATTTAGGCTTCTGCCTGCGCGGCTGCTTCGTTATATAAAAAAAACACTGAATCATACACACAAATTGTGCCGGACATAAAAATGTAAATAGAATAAATTGAACGTTGTTACGTTGCGGGTCGCTTCCTTAAAAACTCACGTACATCGTCGTGTTGGAGAGTCGTAATACCATACAATTTTTGATATAAGGAGTTTGTCAAACGTCAAAACGAAGTTTGAGCGATTTCTATCTTTTCAGATGTTTGCCTCTAGCTACGCCGCCACTGTACCGACTTTAAAAAACTACAACATTTTAGTCCTCGACACAGCAGTCGACCTTGTAGAAGATTGACTTAGGACATTTCCATAAAATGGTGAAATCAATATTCTTATTTTGTATCCAGAGTACTATTTTTGGAGACTACCTTGGCAGTTGCTGCAATATCAGAGGTCATGAATTCGTCGGGAGCTCTGTGAAATGTCTCCTTGATGCGATACTGACAATCAGGCCCTTGATCTGTCAGAAAAAATTGCACCAAGGGATCTTGAGAGATGACTGGATGTCTACTTATCAATGTCGTCCATCTGTGCAGGGCTCTTCGTCTTGATTCGAGAAAATGGGCGTCTGATACGATCTTTTTTGGAGGTAGAGAGGGAACTAACCTGCAAAAAATATATCGTATAGATTTACTCACTGTAACATGATGTTTATTGTTCATAAATCGAAAAATGATAAATACATTGTGGATCGTGATTGTGAATTTAAAATTAACTATGGGACCTAGATTTGTTGAAAATTGAACACGTAAGTATATAATACGATGATCTGTTCTTAAAAATGAATGTCTGTGTGAGCCGCAGATGAATGGATGTTTACATAAGTCAAGAGTGGACCCTTGATAAACACTTAATATATACACACAGTCATTTGTCGACAAATATATGACACAGTTTCACATAGATTAGCCTTGAAGACTTATCTCAAGACAGAAAGAGCGATGCAAAACAACGCGAGGGTGAAAACAGCTTATTGACAAGTGCCAGATGTTTCTCTAAGGCCCATATCGTCAGTCGTCCCTACAATTGTAGGGCGCGTTTATGGCCTCCTTGATTGTCATACTCCTTTCTCTCCTTCAAAAATTTCTAGATTACACTTGTCCCGTGTCAGCGTCAGCGTTCTCCTATTGTGAAGATATGTTTTCTTTTTAAATTGTAGGAAATTTCAGGCCGATAAAACATGATATAACTCAAAAGCAAGCACAGTTTGATGCAAATAGATGTTTGTGACATAACCTCAAAATAGAGTTCTGACACGGAGAAGTAGAAAACTATGACAATCAAGGAGGCCATAAAGGCGCCCTACAATTGTAGGGACGACTGACGATACGGGCCTAAATCAATCAGCACTTGCTGACGCTTACCTATCTGGTTCTAGATGATTGCTTGTTCATTAAAGGCTGCAAATGCATCAGAAAACGTGAACATAGTGTTTATTTGTGTTTGAGATTTTGTCTGACTAGGAGGTGTTTGTGTTAATTTTTCAAAATGAAATATAATCTCAACATTGCAAATCGATGAGGTACTTGTCTAAGAAGAAATTCATTCAAATTAAGGTAACAATCTTGTACAGTTGAATGCTTCCAAAAAACAGTACTGTACTTTGACGAACAAAAAGCGTCCTAGAGCTCATCCAGTTTCGATGGATGGCCGAGTTCTGCCACAGAGCCATTCATTTCACATATCTCGTCAATAGCGGCAGCTGCTGCGGAAAAGCTATACTATTTGTTTAGGGCTAAGAAGTACTTTTCTCCGCATGACCTTCTCACTCTATACAAGGCCCAGATAAGACCTAGCCTCGAGTACTGCTCACACGTTTGGGGTGCTGCCGCCCCGACTATATTGTTTACGCTCGCATCTGTCGAGAGGAGGGCGATCCGACTGATCGATGACTCTTCTCTAACAGACAGTCTCGGGACCCTTTCACACTGGCGGGCCGTCGGCGATCTAGCTCTTTGCTGCTGCCTATATTTGGCGTCCCACCCCAACCGTGTCGAACTTCGTATATCCCGAACTGGCCGATATGACCGCTCCTTTGTCCCGAGGGTGTCGAGATTATGGAACAATCTACAAGAGGAAGCTTTTCCCAGTTCTACTAACCTTAGGCAGTTCAAAAATCGTATCAACAAAATGTCTTTGGGATCATCATAGCAGCCGCGGTGTCCCGGCATTTAGGCTTCTGCCTGCGCGGCTGCTTCGGTATAAAACAAAAAATGTCAATGAGGCAGAGTGTAAAAAACCTTTAGATCAAGGACCTAGATGCGGAATACGTTTTCCAGCAAAATGCATGACTCATCGATATTTGACTCAAGAGAATACGTGGTAGTTATGTTAGGTTCAAACACCGATTTCGGCCAATGGTCGAAAAAAACGACCAGAACGCGTTCTGGCCACCAGCATATTGCCAATGTCCGAAAAATCGCTTTCTGGCCGTTTAGTATAGATCAAAATGCGTTCTGGCTATCGTCATATTGCCAGAACGCGTCGAGCATACAAACAAAACGTCCAAAACCCGATTTTCTACGAGTCTAAGCTTGTATCGAATCTAAACCACCCTTCTGTCTACTACTCGCAGTAAATGATCATCGCGTAGTCGATGTACGACGCGTCGGTTCGTTAAGCCGTGCAAGAATGTCTACTAGTGCCATGGATAGGTTCGTGTAAAAATAACTAGATGTAGGTATGCCGATACCCCTAAAGCACAAGTTATTATATAGTAAATTAAAAACTGAAGTTATTTATTTATTTTTTATTTTGAAACTTGTTATATAAGCAATCAAATATATTTTTTTATATTAAATTGGCATTTGGACGTTTTGTTTGTATGCTCGACGCGTTCTGGCAATATGACGATAGCCAGAACGCATTTTGATCTATACTAAACGGCCAGAAAGCGATTTTTCGGACAATATGCTGGTGGCCAGAACGCGTTCGTTTTTTTCGACCATTGGCCGAAATCGGTGTTTAATCCTAACAGATACAACCTTTCTTCTATTTAGAGTTGATGAAAAATCTGATGATTCAGTACATCTTATGTATGTAGTGGTTTTTGGGATGTACCTTAGGACCCCGTTATGGTGGTTTCCAAATAAAATACATAACTAAACATTTTTTTCTTATAATAAATTCACTCAGGTTAGATATTTACCTATAAGGAAATCTGTTAAGTAATAACTCCTTCAGAGCAACAAAATCATTATATCTTCTGGTAACCTTACTATTAAATCTTTTAGAAGTAACAATATATTCTGAATACTTGATAATTAATCCTTTCTTTTCAGGCACAAGATGAACGTTGATTATATCCAGTTGGACAATAGCATTATAATTGATGGCAGATGTGCTAGTTTTCTTTTTTGTCAGTTGCTCGTTAAGGTCTTTTATTCCATTCAGGTTTTGGATTTCTGGCTTAGGATATTCTGAAAAATAGTAAAATACATTTGTTTTGATTTCCATATATTTCAAATGATATAATTATCGTTTAAAAAACTATCTAAGTTGTAGAAGAAGTATCAGCAAACAAAATGAGGGTTTATATGATATGTGATTTGAAACCAGACATCAGTTAAACAGTCAGAATTTGTGAATCTTCTGAGGCAACAATGCCAAAGTTACAAAAATTGGGAAGAAACTGTGAAAAAAGGCTGGCAAATATGGATCAGCAATCAAAGATATGCAGCACAGTTCACGAAAAACTATTCAGTAAATTAGAACACATTGTAATTTGAGGTACGCCACTTGTTTGAAAATTATTTGCATAACAGAAAACATAAGGTTAAAATTGAAAATATAACTAGTGAAGGAATGAATAATGTATGAAGTCCCACAAGGAACAATACTTGCGCCCCTTCTTTTTAATATATATATAACGTATATATACACACAGGGTGACTTCAAAGATGAGTCATTTATTTTAACAGTGAGTAGATCTGATCAAAAGAAATGTTTTTTTCCTTTAACATTTTTCTGGTAAAATTAAATTAACAAAGTTATAGCCCTTTAGAGGTTTGAGTACCGCCCTGTCTCAATAATAATATTATGTGCTCGTGTTTGGCAACAACGAATATAATCCGCCTTATCGGTTCATCGTATCGGAAACAAAAAAGCGAAAGAATTTGGAACGTTTATCACGATGTCAGTCAATGTGTCAGTCGGGAACGCGCGAGTGAATAGTGGTGTTTGTTGCGTGGCTCAAACGAAATGGCACATGTTTACGAAAATGCTGAACTTGTGGACATGATTCTTATTTACGGATTTATGCGAATCGGTTTCCCAATCGAGTGCAACCAACCTCCTTGTGCCTTTGTTAATGTAGTACAAAGGGCTCGTGAATCAGGTGACTTAAGACCTCACAAGGGAGGGCATGCCGGTGCTCCAAGACCGCATGATCAAGTACAGGTCCGCACTAAAATACTTGTCGGGAGGATACTTTATAAAACAAGGTAACATTTTTTTTTTATTTTTACACACATATTTTGGTTTATCGTCCCTCTACAATCATTATCTGAAAATTAATGACTCAACTTCAAAGTCATATGTATATATATACGAGTATATATATATATATATATATAAAAAAATTTAAAAAAAAATAATCCGCATAAATCCGTGATGCCGCATGTCCACAAGTTCAGCATTTTCGTAAACATGTGCCATTTTTGATTTCGTTTGAGCCACGCAACAGACACCACTATTCACTCACGCGTTACCGACTGACACTGACTGTATACAAATAATTGTAAAAACATCGTTCCAAATTCTTTCGCTTTTTTGTTTCCGATGCGATGAACCGATAAGGCAGATTATATCCGTTGTCGCCAAACACGAGCACATAATATTATTATTGAGACAGGGCGGTACTCAAACTTCCAAAGGGCTATAACTTTGTTACTTTAATTTTACCAGAAAAATGGTAAAGGAAAAAAACATTTCTTTTGATCAGAACTACTCACTGTTAAAATAAATGACTCAACTTCGAAGTCACCCTGTATACAGGGGTCAATAATATCATGTACTCGTGTTTGGCAACAACGGATATAATCCACCTTATCGGTTCATCGCATCGGAAACAAAAAAGCGAAAGAATTTGGAACGATGTTTATTTTATTCAGTTCAGTTATACATACAGTTAGTGTCAGTCGCGTGTGAATAGTGTCTGTTGCGTGGCTCAAACGAAATAAAAAATGGCACATGTTTATGCGGATCGGTTTCCCAATCGAGTGCAACCAACCCCTCGTGCCTTTGTTAATGTAGTACAACGGGCTCGTGAATCAGGTGACTTCAGACCTCACAGAGGACCTCACGATCAAATACAGGTCCGCACTGAAATACTTGTCGGGAGGATACTTTATAAAACAAGGTAAAAATTTTTTTTTATTTTTTTTTTATTTTTACACACATATTTTGGTTTATCTTCCTTCTACAATCATTATCTGAAAATTAATGACTCAACTTCAAAGTCACCCTGTACATAGTCGTGCCATAAGTTCTGTCCCATGATAATCTCATGATAAAAATGAAACAAGATAAGATATATTTATATGAAAGATATTATTTATTCGACAACATTTTTAGAATTCATAATCAAACAGTTTTATTCAAAATGTCCCCCCTTGGCCTTCACACACTGCTTCAATCTCGCGGGCCACTCATCTATCACTGCACGCACAGCTTCCAAAGGAATAGCTGCCGCTGATCGGATCAAATCCGCTTTCAGGGACTCGATATTACGGTGGGCTTTGGAGCAGGCCAACTGCTCTAGCAGGTCCCACAACTTGTAGTCTAAAGGATTGAGGTCCGGACTCCCTGAGGGCCAATCTTCCGCAGCAATGAACTCTGGCACATTGCTTTCCAGCCAGCGCTGCGTACTCTTAGCCTTGTGAGCGGGGGCGGAATCCTGCTGGTAGACCCAGTGTTGGTTGGCAAACAATGTACCACTTAAAGGCTTGACGATAGGATCCAGTATGTCGCTCTGATAGTTTGCCGCTTTTGTTTTCACGCCCTGTTTACAGAAATGGAGCTGAGTGACCCCTTCGTAGGACACCCCCCACCAAACCATGACTGACGCAGGGTGGTGGCCTCTCTCAACTCTCGGAATGATCTCTGAAGCTTCCTGTGAACTCCTTGCATACACTTTGTCATTTTGTCGGTTGAATTTTTCTTCTATGGTGAAGATTTTCTCATCCGTGAACAAAATCTTTCGGAATCCCCCAGCTGCGTACCTCTCCAAGAGCTTCTTGGATCTTTTCGCCCTGATGTGTCGCAAGGTGGCCGTAAGTCGCTGGCCCGTACGTCTCCGGTAAGCCCCTAGCCCTAGGTCTTGTTTAATGATGCGCGACATCGTCCGGACAGGAATCTTCATTTCCCTGGATAGGATCTTCTGCTTCCGGAGTGGATTCCTTTGAATCCTGGCTTTTACGGCTTTGATGGCTGCTGGAGTCCTTACTTGACGAGGTCTTCCGCTTCTTGGCCTGTCATCAACAGAGGACGTCTCATTGTACCGCTGAATGGTCCTAGACACAAATTTACGCGATATTTGAAGGCCGCGTAAGAGTTCAAAAATCTGACTAGCACTGTGATTACACTTATGTAAAGCTATCACTGCAATACGGTTCTCTGCCTTGCCCCACTCCATCGTTACGCTTCGAGAGATCAATACAAACTGAGGTATATGTAATTACCCGAAAAGCGCTTAATCAACTGACACCACAATGTAAACAATCGGACAAGTATTAACAGGTCTACACTTGTTTGAAAACGAGGGACAGAACTTATGGCATGACTACGTATATATATATATATATATATATATATGGTTTTCCGAGTCTGATAGCATGCTTATGTGCCACTATTTAACTAACAGAACACAATATGTAGAAACAGATAAAGGTATGTCCTCCAAAGATGTCATCCCATCGGGTATTCCGCAAGGCTCCATTTTAGATAATCTGATTTTTAGTATTTATAGCTCAAACCTTTCCCAATGTCTTCGAAATTGTCAGGTACACTTGTATGCTGACGATACTCAGCTTTATTTTTCCTTCAATCCTGACGAGAAACATGATGCCTAGCCCATTATTAATCGAGATATTGAAAGATTAGTTGTATTGATTGTACTGATATTATAGTATATACAGGGTGTTAATAAAGTATGTAGACAAACTTTAACCATCGAATCCTTAGTCAATTTGAATACTAAATGTTCATATGAACATAGGTCCGTAACGGTTTGCTTTTCGAGCTAGAGCACTATCACTAAAGAAATACGAGTAATGTTACAAATATTTCTATGAATAATGAAACGTATAACAGTTGGTATAACCTATGATAAATTTTGCATGTTTTACATGTTGCTGAGGTTCAATATGAACGAGGATGAAAATAGTATTATCCTGTATTTTTGGAAAAAAAATTATTTAGTTAAATATTAAAAGTATTGCGATCAAAACAAATCAGTGTCATGCTATTAAAAAAAAAACTGGATACCATTATCCGTATCTACGTACATGGTGGGTCTGAAAACAACAGTAAATCGTGTGATATTCACCCCAGGGAATACTTAGTTCAATTAAAATACGTTCCATTCTTTTATAATTTTTTAGAACATCATCATTTCTTTTAAGTGCTAATATGCTCTAGCTTCAAAATAAAACCGTTGTGGACTCATGTTCATATGGAAATTTCGACTTCAAATGGTCCAAGGATTCAATGGTTAAAATTTGTCTACATACTTTATTAACACCCTATATATGAATGACTTATATAATCTATCAACAAAAAGTGAAAAAACAGGATTTGCAGATGACACCACCATCATTCATAAAGCCAGAACTTGGACATTAAAAGAAAAAATTGAAAAAGATTTAGTACAGATAACAGACTGGTTCGATAAATAATCAATGATTAACTATTAATTATAAAAAACTACTTTATTCCCTTCACCTCTTACATAAATAAATTACTGCTAGATAATCATCTAAATATAAAGAAAGTAATCTCCAAAATAAATAAATAAATATATATATATAGAGAGAGAAAATAATCATGCGGAGAACGGTATATAACAAAAAGTAGGAAAATAATGGACAAAATCCGCAAAAAGGAGGAAAGTGGATTCGAGCAGAAAATAGGATAGGTAACCCGAGCGATACGTATTTCTGCTGGTTGGTTTCATCAGGCCCGAAATGAATGCACATAAGAAACTACAAAAGTAGATACACATGCCCACACATCGGGATACGGGTGTAACCTGAGGAAACGAAGATGGAGAGGGTCTGATGTAGCCAACCAGCAGAAATACGTATCGCTCAGGTTACCTATCCTATTTTCTGCTCGAATCCACTTTCCTCCTTTTTGCGGATTTTGCCCATTATTTTCCTACTTTTTGTTATACAGGGTGACTTCGAAGTTGAGTCATTTATTCTAACAGTGAGTAGATCTGATCAAAAGAAATGTTTTTTTCCTTTACCATTTTTCTGGTAAAATTAAAGTAACAAAGTTATACCCCTTTGGAAGTTTGAGTACCGCCCTGTCTCAATAATAATATTATGTGCTCGTGTTTGGCGACAACGGATATAATTCGCCTTATCGGTTCATCGCATCGGAAACAAAAAAGCGAAAGAATTTGGAACGATGTTTTTACAATTATTTCATTCAGTTGTATACAGTCAGTGTCAGTCGGTAGTGGATAGTGGTGTCTGTTGCGTGGCTCAAACAAAAT